CTATTTAATATAAAGTTTTCCAACATCCGTAACTCAGAACCAAAACCAGACCAAACCTACCACCATCGACTCCACTCCAACTCATAGTCACCTCCATTGGGTTTCCAAGGCTGATCTTTATCCTCCTGAGGAGCAGCTGGTTAACAGCCAAATGCCTTACCCACTAGGCCACCAGAGCTCCTTCTTTAACTCAGAAGGGCTGGGTAAGCTCTGTGCTGCTGACATGTTAAGATCAAGCTGGGTGCCATGTGGAGGTCAACTTCCCTGTACATCTTGATCCTACACACCTCCAGCCAACAATAGTGACTTCCTGTACAATAATGACTCTTAGTTTTTAATTTGTCCTTTCTAATTTTCTATGTTCTAATTTTTTTTTTTTTTTTAACTGAACTGGGTACTGTTTAGGTAAAAATATATGTGTCCAAAAACCATTGAATAATCATCAAAGAACAATTTTTTCCCCTTCAAAAGCAAAAGACAGAACAAAAACAAAAAGGCTGTTCAGAAAGCCCTTTCAAAGCCAAAAGAGACTTAGTGATTCTTTCACTGAAACTTTCAAATCTAGGAAATAAACTATATGAAAACTATATAACAATAAACTATAGGAAAACAGTGAAGCCTCATTGCAAAGATATTTTTCAAGATCAGTTAGGCAGCCAATAATCTCATAAATAGTTAAGCACTGGGCTACTAACCAAAACGTTGGTGTTCAAACCCACTCAGAATACCCACCCACTCCTCAAAAAAAAGTCCTGGTGATCTGCTTCGAAGAGGTCACAGCCCTCAAAAACCCTATGAAACACCGTTCTACTTGACACACATAAGTTCAGCATGAGTTGGAACTGACCCAGTGGCAAACAGTACTGGTCACTTGTTTCTTATGTCAAAACCGAAAAAACTAAATCAACTGTCATTGAGTACTGACTTGTAGTGACACTGTAGGACAGAGTTTAAAAGCCTCATAGAAGATTTCTAAGGCTGTAAATCTTTATGGAAGGAGACTGCCTCATCTTTCACCCATGGAATGGGTGGAAGATTTGAACGGCTGACTTTATGATTAGCAGCTCAATGCTTTAACCACTACACTACCAGAGCTCCTTGTCTCTTGTGTAAATATACCCTCAAGCCTAATCCACAATGAGTAGAAATAGAGCGAAATTTTTGACACTCAAATCTTGGAGTAGGGACTTTATTTTCAAAAGGCTGGTTGACTGCAGACAAAGAACAGAAGGACAGAAGATCTCAACAAAATAGTAAGCAAGTGAAGTATGGGTTACTGTTAAGAGAACATTATTTTCATATAGTTTATTTCCAGAACAAGAGATATACAGGAGCCCACTGTGACACCAAATGTATAGAATTTGTTCTTGTGATTTTGAATTACCTTTCACTTTTCCCCATTTGTGACAGTTCTCTGAGCAAGCCCTCTGCTTGTTTGGGCCATATGTCATGTATTTGTGGTCCATAAATGGTTTTGCATACCACTTTAAATCATGTATACCTAGACTTGAAAGTTTCAGTGAACGAATCACTAAGTCTCTTTTGGCTTTGAAAGGGCTTTTTTCTTTTCATTCTTTTTCTTTTGAAGGAGAAAAAATTATTCTTTGGCTATTATTCTATGGTTTTTGGACACATATTTTATCTAAACAGTACCTAATTCAGTTTAAAAAAAAAAAATTAGAACATAGAACTTGTGTGCGAACTGAAAATCAGGATAACCAAAGACATGCTTTAACAAGACAAAGTTTACTCTAGATATGATCATCTTCCTTTAGTGATTCTACAACTATTCACCAAGCATGCACTAGGCACTGGGTTGGGCTCTGGTGATATCATGTTGATCAAAGCCAGTTATGGTCCCTGTCCTTATGTTATTTATGATCTAGTGAGGGACATGAACAATTATCAATTACACAAATGTAAGCCAGTAACTCTGATGTTGTTATGTGCCATCGAGTCGGACCCAACTCATAGTGACCTCTCCTTGGGTTTCTGAGGCAGTATCACTACGGAAGTAGATTGCCCAATCTTCCTTCCGAGGAGTGGCTGGTGGGTTTGAACTGCCAGCCTTCTGGTTAGCAGTCAAGTGCCTTAGGCACTATACCACCAGAGCTCCTGGTAACTCTGATACATGTTAAAAAGGGTATCACCCATTGCAAAGGGAGGTTATGTTCTGGTGATTTACCCTCATCAGGAAGGTTGGGGAAAGGTTCTCTGAGGAAGCTCTTGGGCAGTGAGATCTGAAGGATGATCAGATGTTAAGGAAGGGTGGGAAGGACATTTTGAGAAGACCTTGTGGTGGAAAGAAATGGAAAGTGTGTTTGAGGAACCAAAAGAAGGTTAAGTATACCTGAACAGAGACAGCTCGGGGGAACATGGTAAAAGACTCAACCTCACAGCCATATAAGAGTTTTACTTAAAAGGTTTGGAAAACCACTGAAGAGTTTCAAGCAGCAAAGTGATATAATTAAATTTGCTTGTATAAGAGCTCATTTTAGTTTACCTTTGGAGAAGAGAATTGAGAAAGTAACAAGAACAGATGCAGAAGGACCAGTTAGAAAGTGTTTGCTATAGTCCATGTAAGAGATGATGATTGCTTGGGCCACAGTTAATTTTAAGTAGAAACACAGAAATACTTCCTAGCATTGTGGTTAAGGCCTTGGTCTGCTAAGGCTAAAAGGTAAGCAGTTCGAATCCACCAGCTGCTCCACAGGTGAAAGATGAGGCAATCTACTTCTGTAAAGATTTAAAGCCTTGGAAACTGAATGGGGGTCACTATGAGTTGGAATCAACTCCATGGCAGTGGGTTTTTTTTTGAGCCTGTAGTCAGTGTGGCATTTCTTTTTCCTATCTAAGAGAAGTTGCATTCTAGTCTAGAAGTGAATTTATTGCTCTCAATTTTATTATATTCATTTTTCAAAGATACTATAGAAATTGCCTTTTTAGATGGGTTAGGTCATTACTTTTTTTCTTTTTTTAAGTATTGGAAAACAAGGGTCAAGAGCCGTCAGAGTAAGGTACTGAGCAAACACCTGGAAATTATCAATTATACTGCAGTGATCAAAACAAATATATTTGGAAAGTATCTTTGGCAAAATAAAAATTTATCTTGCAAAGGTAAATCTTATATAATTATAGATGTATCTACATTTATATACAATTAAATATGTATTTAGATACATATATGTTTTTCATTAAAAAAGTAAAGAAGTTGAATACTTATAAATGCAAAATTCATGTGACTGCTTAGTTGTTCTGGATTGAGCTTTCAAGGGTACAATGTTTCTATTCTAAGTTAAATTGCTTAGATTATAAGACACATATTTGTTGTTAGTAAAGAAATTCGCATTGAGTTTCTAAACTCAAAATTTAAGTACTTCGGCAAATACTCTCATACATGCTTTGCTTGTGGTTACTCAGATCTCAATAGAAGAAACATGGAATTAGGTAAGAAACTAACACTGTTGCCTTTGAGTCAATTCCAAAACAGTGACCCTATAGGACAAGTATGGTATGGAGTACCATAGGGTTTCCAGAGCTATAATTTTCACACCTCAACATAAAGAAAACAAAAATCCTTAAACTGGACCAATAAGCGACATCACGAAACTGAGAAAAGATTGAAGTTGTCAAAGATTTCATTTTACTTGGATCTACAATCAATGCCCAGGGAAGCAGCGGTCAAGAAATAAGATGATGTATTGCACTGGGCAAATCTGCTGCAAAAGATCTTTTTAAAGTGTTAAAAAAGCAAAGATGTCACTTTGAAGACTAAGGTGTACCCAAACCTAACCCATGGTATTTTTAATAGCCTTGTATGCATTTGACAGCTGGACAATGAATAAGGAAGACCAAAGAAGAATGAATGCATTTGAATTGTGGTGTTAATGAAGAATGCTTCATAACAGAAGAATGAACAAATGTCTTAAAAGAAGTATAGCCAAAATGCTCTTTAGAAACGAGAATGGCCAGACTTCGTCTTACCTACTTTGGTCATGTTGTCAGAAGGGTCCAATCCTGGAGAAGGATATCATGCTTGGTAAAGTGGAAGGTCAACGAAAAAAGGGAAGACTCTCAACAAGATGGATTGACACAGTGGTTGTGATGATGGGCTTAAGCAGATCAAGGATTGTGAAGATGGTACAAAACCAGGCAGTGTTTTGTTCTGTTGTACATGGGGTCGCTATGAGTCAGAGTTAAAGTGATAGTACTTAACAACAAAAACAACAATTTTTATGGAAGCACACAGCCACATCTTTCTCCTACTGAGAGGGAACTGCTGACTTTTCAGATAGCAGCTGAGTGCTTAAACGCCTAAGAAATTAACAGGTATCTGTAAAAGAGAGTGGATGTTTGTAGCTCAGAGAGGGGAAACAGCAAGTCTAAACCCAGCCTCTGCTTTAGCAGAAAAGGTACTAGTGCCTGCAGTTATCTGGTTTGCAGCCTCCATCATGATCATTTGAGTCTCTCCCCCTGAGTACAGCAGGAATAGCCTATCAGATCCCTGCAGATGCTGAAAGCTGAAGGCAATGGAAAGTAAAGCTTTGACATTCTGTCACTGGGATGACAGTACAAAATGGACTGCAATAAACAACAGTCTGAGCAAGATAATTTGATGCATTGGGACCTTAAGCTTCTCCAGATGCTGAACTCAGCTTGAGAGGTGAGATAAGAGGGCAGCATTTACCCTCCTGAATAAAGTAGGGCTGGATGAAACTAGAGAAAAGAAACCTTCTTATGTAAATAGAAGCTAGTCCACTAACATGCATATCCTCAGGTAGATAAATCAAGCCAAATATAGAATATATATGATATGTTATTAATACATATAAAACATCATACACATATATATGCATAAAATATAATTTGACTGTTGACCTAATAATAGACCATCATAAAGGCTGAAACAAAGTTAATGTTCAGGGAGGAATCTTTGAAACGGAAATTGCACTATATTAATATCAAGCTTACTTAATATTATAGTGCTCCACAACTATGACAAATAAAATGCCTCTGAATAAGATTTCTTTTCCAAATAAACAAGCACATGCAGACACAGATTTTGACTGTGAAGATTTAATTCACAACAGAAGGATGTTGCTTATGGAGTGAGAAGTGAAATCACAGTCCCTCTGGGCACATCCAGGTGCTCTGCCAGTTTTCCATCACAAGACTGAGTGATGTGCTTGCATTTCTCAAAGGCGGTTTTGTTTCAATAAAGCCAGTTTAGGTGAATGGTAGATGTCATAATGAAACAGAAGGACAACCAAACTCACTGATTTGGATAAGGATGACTCAGAACCAAAAGAGCAGCTTGCCTTTCTTTGCTGTTGAAAATTTTAATTTGGCTATTTTCTTTATATTAAGTTTTTTTTTTTAAAAAGACGAGGAAGAAGATAACAACAACACTGACATAAGCATATGGTTTTGCAATCATGAAATGCATTATGCTTGTGCAATCAAAAACAAAAACAAAAAAAAAAAAGAGAAAAGACAAACTTAAGAACAATAGCTACTATTTATTGGCTGTCATTACTGTGGAAGGCATTGAGCCAGAGACTTTACACACATTATCTTGTTTAATACCCTGCAAGGTCCTCCTAAGAAGATGGGCAATCTACTTCCTAGTGATACTGCCTCAGAAACCCAAGGAGGGATAGCTACGAGTCGGGTCCGACTCAATGGCACAAAACAACAACAACAATAACAAGGTGATTGTTAGTAGTCTCATTTCAACTCTACTGGCTCAGAGCACTGAAGCATATTTGTCCCAGGTCACAGAACTTATAAGTGATAAAGGAGGAATCAAACCCATGAGTGCTAAATTCTGCCAGTTCTCTTTCTACTCTCCTCACCATCTCTCAAAATCTCACTGTGGAAACAAAGAATATTGGTGCAGAAAAAGAATTTTTTTTTGAATAGTGAAAGGAATACATAGCTAAAATTTGCTTAAATCCTATGTTGACAAATCAAGTCAGGCAGAAAGAACACTCTTGCCCTTGGTGAAGCTCACCAAGCAACCAGGGTTCTGGTTTCTACTCACCTCACATGGCTTGAGAGTCTTGGGAGGATTTACGCAACAGATTTCAATGCATTTCCTACTAATCCTGCTGCTCAGGCTGGATGGCTCTCTCTGCACCGCTCAGCCATTTGGATTCTGTTATTCTCACCATATAAAATCTTTGGAGGCTGTTACTCTTTACTGTTCACCCATCTTTACCTTCCTTACACACGGTGCTCTACCTTCCTTAGCTCCTATTCAGGTCTCAACTCTGTACATATGGGCTTCTCCCACCACTCAACAAAATGGCACTGGAAAACTTTTTTTCTTCCCTCTTTCTTTCCTGACAAAAGTAAAAATGTATGTTTTAGAAATTTTCAAAAGCATGTTGTTTTTGTTGGGTGCTGTCGAGTCAGCACTAACTTATTGCAACCCTGTGTGACAGAGTAGAATTGCCCTTTAAGTTTTTTTTTTTTTTTTTTTTGCTTTATGGAAACAGATCACCAAGTCTTTCCCCTGTGTAGCTGCTGGGTGGGTTAGAACCACCAACTTTCCAGTTAGCAATCTGGCTCTTAAGTATTTGTGCCGCCAGGGCTCCTTTCCACAAGTATAAAAAGTATAGAAAAGCACAAAAATGAGAGAAAATCACCTGATTCTGCCACTTAGAGATAACAGTTAATATTGCAGGGGATATTCTACCAGCTTCTTTTTATTTCCTAAGCAAATGGATAACTATAATAATTTTTTATCATTATATACATATTATTTAAAAATATTTTTCAATTTTTGATATATAAATGAACATTTTCCTCATCATTAAATATTCTTCCACAGCATAATTTTTAGCATGGCATTGTTGTTGTTGTTGTTAGGTGCCATTGAGTCGTTTCCGACTCATAGCGACTCCATGATGCACAGCAGAACGAAACACTGCCCGATCCCGTACCAGCTTCATGATACCTGCTATATTTGAGCCCATCATACCATACGAATATAGCTTATTTATTTAATGCATCACCTACTGTTGGACATCTGGCTTGTTTTGCACATTTGATTATTATAGACAGTGCTGCAGTGAACATTCTTATAGATTTATGTGTATTTATATCTATGACCGTTTCTATTTCTCTGCACATTTAGAAGGTCTAGATACATCAGTCAGGTTTCTCTTCTCATAGATTTTTATGAAATTCCATCCTCAGCAGGAATAATTACTAATGCTTAGGAAATGGGTCTCCTGAACATAATGAATAATCACCAAATTGCAAAGTGATTTATAAGTGAATTAATTAATTCATTCAAGAATTACTTATTAACCTTCTATATGTGCTAAGTGCTGGGAACTCAGTGGTGAGCAAGCAGACTTACAGGGTATGCTCTTATAGAGCTTTCACCATACGAAGGCAGCAAATTAAATAAGCAATAACAATAAATTGTGAAAAGTGCTACAACAGGAGGTGACAGGAATGGGGAAAAATGAGTAGATTGGAAGGTGTCCAGAGGTGACAATGGAAATCTTGGGATGATTAGGTGTCCTAGGTGGGACCAGGCATCTCTACGAGCTCCTCAAATCAAACTTCTCTCTCTTTCTAACACCATAATTATTGCCTTTCTATTCCCATGTTTTGTATTTCTATTTCTAACTTGAGCTGAGTTCAAACAGAATAGATATTTTATTTCAAAAGTCCCATCCCAACTATCAAATGAATTTCTACTAGGTTACTATTGGTTTCTTAAGGCTAATACACACATACGCATATATACACACACAGATTAAACACAGAGAGAATTATTCTGGAGAAAAATAAGACAATTACTTTAAGAAAAACATTTTTTTTTTCAAGAAATTATGTGGATTTGAATTATTATTTTTCTAGATCTATTTTTCTAGATATAGTATAATCAATATAGATGTTATCATTCTAGATATATAATAATCAACACTGTAAACAATTCTAATAAACATAAAATTGGTCAGTAGATAAGTAAATGCCTAAATATTTTACATGGAAACAAGCCAAACGTCAGTAGTTACATTCTTAAAATAGCATCATCATCCTTGTATTTTAATGTTTTACACAGTACAGCACTTAGCCAAGAGCCCTGGTGGTGCAGTGTTAAGCGATTGGCTGTAAACGGAAAGGACAGTGGTTTGAACCCACCAGCTGCTCCATGGGAGAAAGCTGTAGCAGTCTGCTTCTATAAAGATTACAGTCTTGGAAACTCTATGGGGCAGTTCTACTCTGTTCTATAGGGTTGGTGTGAGTTGGGAGCAATTCAAGGGCATTTTTTTTTTTTTTTAAATAGTACTTAGCCATCTCTGAAGCTAACCACTTTCATAAAGTAATCTAATTTTCAATTTCATGTATAGATATGAGTCAAACAATTTAAACTTTTAACATTATGTCTAATGGGTCCAGTCATATCACTGCTTTAGAAACAGAACAATGTATTTGCTCTCAAAGATCAAATGTATAAAGGTTGGAAAATACATCAAGACTTAATAAAACTCTGGTCTTTTTAACTTATGATGACATATTGTATCCAGGAATACTGATATGTAGTTAATAACTTCCCAGTGTTTGTTTGTTAAGGGTATATAATACTTCATATTTAAGGTGAAAATTGTTTGAAAGAAGAGATAGCGTCACCTTTGTTTCCTTAGAATGGGTTTTATAGGTATTAGTTTTTATAAATTAACTTTAAAGCATATACATAAAAAGCAAACTTAAATTTTCTATCACATGTATGTGTTTGCATGTGTATGTGTAATGTGTATGACATCCTCCCAGCGCTTACTACGTAAAACATTTTTCTAATCACTTAACATGTGTTAATTTATTTAATCAGCAAAATAACGTGTTTAAAAAATACACTAATTATTCCTTTTTATGGATGAGAAAGCTGAGGCACAGAATGATAAACATCTTTCCCAAGGGTACATAGCTTCTAAAAGGTGGAGCTGGGAAGCATGAAAATATATGTGAAACTCAGATGTCATCTGGGGTCTCCCTGCCTTTTTAGATGAAGATCGACTAGCTCCAACTTCCCATTCCTTGTCTTATGCAAAAGTTTAATGTCCTTCTGTAAATGACATTAAGAGCCTAGGGGACTTGCATTCTCAAAATCCCATCTAGCTCCAAATCTTTGGTCTTCTGAGTCAGTTTTGTGAGCAAGTGCACATAGGAAAAAGATTCAAACCCCTGAAAAGTGAGTATTAGTTATTTCTCACATTTAATAACATACTTCAGTTATCATACCAGGCTGTTCTTCTCCCCACTCTTTTTATCTAATTTACACTCCCCCCACACCCGAAGCCCTATTTATACTACTGAGTAGTGAATTATCTTTTCTCTCCTTGCTTGCTTCTAAGTCATGCCTTTAGGTCCTTACTTTGTCCATTAAACTGTTTATTAAGATAGTTTTCTAAACAAAGACGGTTCCCTTCCTAAGAAGAATCCTGTTCTGACCTAAGAGAATAATACCCTTCCTTTCAGATGTGTATACAAATATGGAGGTGAGACCCCCTGTATTATGATCAATATAAAATATGTTGTTGTTGTTATGTGTTGTCGAGTCGGACCCGACTCATAGTGACCCCTCCTTGGGTTTCCAAGGCAGTATCACTATGGAAGTAGATTACCCCATCTTCCTTCTGAGGAGTGGCTGGTGGGTTTGAACCACCAGCCTTCTGGTTAGCAGTCAAGTGCCTTAGGCACTACGCTACCAGAGCTCCCATATAAAATTTAACTACTGCTAATTAAAACAGCTGCCATAATACAACAAATCTGACATATGTTCACTAACATCACAATGGAGAAAGAACAAGAAAAGTTCAAATGACATTAGGTTAATTCATTAAAATCTCAAATCCATATGGGAACAATTATTTTTCCTTGTATTTGAGAATCTATGGTTGGAAATGACAATGCTGAATGATAACAGAAGAAATCACATACCTTCAGCCTGCCAATAATGTCAATATATATGACAAGTGTTAAAAAGTCATGTCAAAACACTATTAGGAAAAAAGAAAGTGAAGAATATAATTGGGGGCATATATAAATGACTAAATCATAAGTATCTAATTCATACAAGAAAGAGTTTTCAACAGATCACCTACTTTAGAGCCGGTGAATATAAATTATGCACGTCTTTGATTAGCAGGAATAGGAAAAATGAAAGATTCAAAAATAAATTTTAGAAAAGGAAGTAGTGTTTCATAATTACTGGAATCCTAAGAATCAAACAGAAGTATTTCTTGAGCACTGAAGTGCAAGGCCACCTAGGCTGAAATATGTTTGGTGTCTCCTGGAGTTGTGCAGTCCACAAATCTGAGTGGCCATATTGAGGTAGCCCTGTGTTGAGTGTACTGTCAGGCAGTGACCACAAAAGATACAAATTAATTCCATTTTTGGAAAAATAATGTTAGCTTCAAAATGTTTGCAAACTAATTGAAGAAAAACTATACTAGCATTACAGATACATATAAAGAATAACTTATAATTTTGAGCAGTAAATAAGTAAAAATCCACATTGAGAGGCATAACTAGTAGAGGTCTAGTAAATCACATAGGAGCTCTGGTGGCATAGCGCCTAAGGCATTTGACTGCTAACCAGAAGGCTGGCAGTTCAAACCCACTGGCCACTCCTTGGAAGGAAAGTTGGGCAATCTACTTCCATAGTGATACCGCCTGGGAAACCCAAGGAGGGGTCACTATGAGCTATTTAAAGAAGGAACTCTCTCTTACTCAAGAATATGACTTTATTACTTGGCTTATAGCCTAGTACCTACTGAGTGTTCAATTCATGTTTAGCAAATTAATGATAATTAGAGAGGACCACAGGATAAATTAGAGAGAAGTGTGCCCATTTGACCACCACCCATCTAGCAGTTTGCTGTACTGTGATGGCTTTCATGTTGCTTTGCTGCGGTGGAAGCAATGCTATCAGTATTTCAAATACCAGCAGGGTCACACAAGTGGGCAGATTTTAGCAGAGCTTTCAGACTAAGAAAGACTAGGAAGAAAGAGCTAGTGATCTACTTCCAAAAATTAGCCAATAAAAACCCTATGGATCACAACAGAACATTGTCTGATACTGTGCTGAAAGATGAGCCTCCTATGTTAGCAGACACTACACAGTGGCTGCGACAAAGGACTTAACAAAGGACTCAGTGATCATGAAGCTGGCCCACGACTGGGCTACGTTTCCTTGTGTTACACATAAGGTTGCCATGAGTCGAGCTGATTGGATGACAACTAACAATAATATGACCATCTGAAAGCCAAAGTGGAAGGAACAATAGAGAAGGGGAGACATTGAGACTACTGGGGACAACTGGTAGGATTTTAGCAAAGCTTGAAGAGATATGATCGAGAGTCAAGGGGCTGGGAAAAGTTTTGTCAAGGAAAAGAGGAACTTCTGAGACAGGAAGGAAAGAAAAGACATCGTGAATGAGGCACAAAATTATCTAGAGGGGGGAAAGGAAAGAACATAAAAAAGGCACAGACATCTCCAACTCTTCACTAAATTAAAAAAATATATACAGAAAGAGTGCATAGTCAATGTTAGCAACATCTACTATTATTACTCAACAGGATTAAGGCAGAGAAAATAGGATCTGAGCCTTGAAAATGGCAAAGGCTGAAAACGATCATTGTATGTGTTGTGGGTGGGGAAAGGCATGCTAGGGAAAGCTACAAAGTTTTTAAAAATTAGATACGAGCCATATTTTTCAAGGCAATGCTTCAACTGTTCAATAATTTTTATCAAGACGGTGCTAGGCACTGTGGGGGATTTACAGAAATGTAAGAGATGGCTTTCATCCCTGAAAAGTTAAATTACAATCCATAGATATTTCATGTTAGAATGTGAATAAGTGCAAAAAAAAAGTGGAAGAGATAAGGGCAAACTGTTCTGTAACAGGAACTATGTTTGTTAACTATTATTTCTTTATATATTACAGCCTAATAATGATCTCCACTATTGTTTTTGTTTTTTGTTGTGTGCAGTCAATAAAAAATCATTCATTTTCTGGCTTTTATATTGGCATAATTATTTTCTGTAGGTATTTTGCTTCTTTTGTTTGTGGAAAAAATTGTTTCTCCTCAAGGTTCAGTGAGCAAAACAGGTCATAAGGCTTTAGCTGAACACAGGGTCATTTCTCACGTAGACAGAATAGATTCTTTTAAGAAATACCATTTGTGCAAATGCAAGTCTGCTCCTCAGAGCTATACAACAAACAGAAACGGTTATTACTGGCCACTCTACACTAAGGCTGGGTCTGAGAGGGTTAAACTAAAAATGAAGCTATTTGCTTCTCTTTTGGTTCAGCACAGCTTTTCCATAATTCTCTAGAGCTAGGCAACTGACAGCATGGATTTTTATTGAAGAAATGCTATGACATTTGTTCTAAATGTCACATTTCTCCCCCACAAACTAAAAATAGCATGTCAGCATACCCTACCCCTAATAAAATTGTTGGCTTGGAAATGACATTGATCAGCAAAATGAAGCATATAACCTTTTCTCCCCTTTTCTATAAATGTTTTATTTATTCCTGAGTAACATTTGGTATCTTTTGTAGGCTGAGATCAAAGGGACAAATCAGTAAATTTTACTGCTGAAGTAGTCTTTACAGTGTGGGATTGTCGTTTTTAAAGACTGTTTCAGCCAGCCGCTGCTGTCATTTGAGGAGTGATCTAGTGACTGACAGAAAATATCTGTAGAAATAATGTGCACTCTCATAGTAATGTGACATTTTATGAGCAGTTTGACTGTTTTCATTACTCTGATTTCAGTCTGGTGAAGAGTAAGTTAGAAATCCAGCAATGGAATATGGAAAGCCTGTCATGAAGAAGTTGACAGGACAACCTTGAAATTGGGCTGTTGTATTTAATAAGACTTTATAGCAATTATCTGAAAGCATTTTAAATAATAAGTTGACTCCAATGCTTAATTCTATTCCAAGGTCACTGGTTTTATTGGTAAGAGTATTTGGGCTAGCTGACACTAAAAAGCCAAGTTTCAAGCAAATTTTATGGAGGCTTTGGCGATCCATGTTTCATGATCCCACCTCAGTTTAGTTTCAAGAGTGAAAGATCTAGCTATCTAGGGGAAATTCCATTATAACAAGCTTCATATCTACACTGTTCTCTTCAGTGGTGGAATTTTGCTACAAAGAACATATTACTAGAAAACATAGTTCTGGACTAGGGAACTGGCCATGAAAGGAAACTCACACCAGAGGCTCAGTTCATCAGGAGTTCTAATTTTTAAGGGACAGCTTTTCCCCCTGCTGATGTACACCCACCACCCATTCTTTTCTTGCTCCTGGATGCGTGTGCTGCCTGGTTAATGTGCAGCATATGTGGGAATTCTCTAGATCCTTGCTACTCATAGTTTGAAGTGGGATGTTCAGCACATATATTTACTTGTTATTTCACTGAGGCACAATCTGGAATTCCAATATTACCTCAAGATAAATACAGTGGGATCACTCAATGAGTGAACGTAGCCAGTTTCCCAGTGGTTTCATCTCTTTGTGGCTTCTTTGCTGTTCTATGTACATAGTCACATTCAGAAAGGTTTGAAGGTGTCACTCTAAATTTTCAATTACTTTTATTAGCATAATTTAGGGGCACAACTGTAGCTACAAGGCTGTTTGAGAATCTGAGGATACACAAAGGCTTTAGGATATATCCACAGCAAATGTCAAGGGACCACTATATACAAATTATTGTAACCAGATAAGTAAAGTGCTATTTCCACTGTCAACTACAAAATTATCTTATTAGAGGCATTCCCTAATAAGAGATCCATGCCCAAGTTGTCCTTAAGTCAAATTTGTAGGTAAGTTGGAACAGGTGCATACAGTTCTTATTTAGCCTTACTTTATTTAGTGCAAGGAGCTCTGGTGGTATAATGGTTAAGGCATTTGTCTGCTAACCATAAACTCGGTGGTTCAAAACCACCAGATGCATTATGAAAGAAAGGTGAGGCAGTCAGCTTCCATAGAGGTTTACAGCCTCAGAAACCCAGAGGGGGTTGCTATGAGTCAGCATTGACTCGATGGCAGTGAGTTTGGCTTGGTTTAGTTTACTTAATGCAAGGAGTTGTCCCTAAGTCAGACATTCACAACCTGGGACTTACTGTATATAAATCTTTCTTTTTTGAAGTAACTTACTACATTTCCTGCTGTGCTACAATTCCTAGTTCCCCAAATGTTTACCTACAGTGTAAACTCCTTGAGGGAGGTTTCTGTCTTAATCATTTGT